TTCAAGTGTTCAGAATACCATGTTTTTTAGAAGATTTTTTGACGGATTTTTTTCTCAAAATTTCATATCTGAATGAATTGGAGGTTATAGTGGTCGGATTTCAATTATTTCCAGTACCAATGTTAAAATAATTATTTGAAAAGTAATACCTCTGTTGTTATAACATTCTCTGTTGAAGTATTTGTGGTTCAAAATCACAAAACTATACATATCGCTTCTGTGGGAACCATACGATATAATCGTCCGATTTTGCTGGTTGCGACAAATGATCAAATCTCAATAAAAAATACTCTCCCCTACTAAGTTAAGTTCACATACCTCAAAAATTGACTCAGAGCAACATTCTAATTAAATCTAGTATACGTAAGTTACATTGTTTATATTATCTCCCACAAATCGCAACTCTGCTCATTCCTTCATTCAGATTTGGCACAAGTTTTACTATTATAAAAGCTTTCTATGAAGTTAAACTACACTACGATGGCAAATTTCCTGCTCAAAGTGGATTACATCGACGCAGCTACAACCACACCTTGAGCTTCCTAACATTTTTTAATGAACATTTTGTTGAATATCGATTAAGAAGGTACTTTTGTGAAGGAGAACTTTCTTACTGCGAGGATACCTATCACCCACAACCAAGCTAATAAAAGTGTAATTCAAAATAGGTTATCTCTATTTATTTATTTAATTTTTTTTTGTTTGTTTGCAAGGTTAACAGCTTTCACCAAAAATAAAAAAAATAAAAAAATGAATATGAAATATTTTAATTCATTTAAATATGAATAGTTTAGTAAGCATACTTCCTGCAGAGTTCATACTTCTTCAACAGAATGCTGAGCAGTTATATGTTGCAGTGATGCTCAACTAACGAAGCGATAGTTGATAAAGCGATATAATTTCGTCTTGTTAGTATAGAAATGGAATGAAATAGTTCATGCAAAATGAAAGCGCACAAAACTCGTCCTCAATGTTTATTTTAAAATAGCTGCCTGCTAGTTATTTATTAACAACACACTTTCATTTTAACGTTTAACATTATCTGTTAACGATTTAACATTATCTGTTAACGTTTAAAATTATCTGTTAACGCTTTAACATTAACGAGAGTTCGCTCGGATAAAAACGAAATTAAATCTATTTTGATAACGGCCTTAATGGTAGCATTTACAAATGCATCAGTAGAATCGATAAAATTTTTTTTGTTAACGTTACATTTTTCGTTCCGATGAAGCATTTAATTGTTGTTATGTGTATATTTATATACTTATAAATCAATGAAACTGTTCGAGCAAAACATCTTATGATAAATTTTGCTTCAGGCAATGCAGGAATAAATTATACAGTCATTTACACACATTTTATGATACAAGAACCAAAGTTCAGATCTTATAATCACCGAAATGGCTTCAATACTATAATTGGAATTTACTTATCAACTTGCCTTTAAGACTTGCATTCATAGGATGGGCATATAAAAGGTGATTTTTCAAGAGCTATGCGAAAGTATTTCAAAACAAAAACACATATAATTCCGCAAAATGCCTGAGATCTTTATTTGAATCGATAACATGATCCATGTAATTTAATATTTGGATATTATTTAAGTCCAATTTTGGCATACTCCTTCCAACGTTTCGGTCGATATCTCACGAATAAAGGCTTCAATGTTGTCCTGCAATGCGTCAATTGAGGCGGGTTTGTCTTTATTGACATTAGATTTAACATAGCCCACAAAAAATAGTCTAAAGGCGTTAAATCGTACGATCTATGCGGCTAATATGCGGGTTCCGAACGTGAAATAAAATGTTCACCGAACTCGAATCTCAATAAATTAATTGTGCTGTGTGGCATGTGATATCGTCTTATTAAAACCACATGTCAAGCAAGTCAAGCTCTTGCATTTTGGGTAAAAAACGGTCTGATTTCATCTCACGGTAGCGCTCACTATTCACAGTTACGTTACGATTCGTATCATCTTTGAAGGCGTACGTTCCAATGATGTCAGCAGCGTATAAACCGCATCAAACTGTGACTGCGTTTGGAAGCGTTGGTAGCTCTTGCAATGCTTCTGGCTGATATTCGCTACAAAGTCGACAATTCTGTGCTTCTTCACTGAACTGAAGAAGCGCGCGATAAACTTTCTTAACAGAGCATGCATTCTGATAATAAAATTCGATGACTTGCAAGCGTTTTTCGTTTGTTCGATTCGTGGGTAAATTATAGACAAAACTGAAAATGTTTGACAGTGATACAAAACACGAAACATGCATGAGCTGTTTTAACCAGTGTTGCCAAAAAGATAATAGCAAAAAAATCATCCTTTAAATTTATATAACTGCCGTTGCATATTTTACTATCTCTAGAGAAGCCCATAAAGGTATTTGCATGTGACATTATCAGGCCTATTCTCACTGTTATTTTGTTACTTTTCTTTAACACCCGAAATTGAATTTGGTATTCTGGCGAACTGGTTACAATGTTTGAAAAAATTTCGCAGCACTGCTTTTTTCGTCCATGTAAAATTACATTTGCCAGTTGATAAAGTAAAAAGAAAAATATTCACATCGAAATGGAAGACGGTGTACAACAAAATAAATAAGTTTTATTAATTTGTTTATTAAATCATAAATATGTGAACCTAATAATGGAAAATATACCTGGACAACAAAAAAAGCTGAATGAAAACCACATCTTACAAATTAAAGGGCTATTTTTTAGTCTCGAAAACTTCTTAAAATACGAATTTTTGGACTTTTTTCTTCATCTTCAATGAATTCCAGGCCTAAAATAAGGCTACCCATTTTGGTTTTTTATTTTTCTCAAACTAACATCACAAAATCAAACAGCAGATATGTTTGTAACCTCCTTTTTCGCTGGTAACAAAATTTACAGGGTAACAGTGAGCTCAGAATACGAAATGGTAACAAAATTTACCGAATGGTAACTTTTAGTACCAAAGTATATTTTGTTACCTCGACAGAATAGGCCTGTATATGTATTTAAATATATTCAAATATAGTAGGAAAATATAGTTCAGACATAAATATTTTAAAAATTTCTGAGAAACTCGTTTGGAACTGTATGCTCTCGGAGCGTAAGGAGTATTGAAAAAATTGTGTTGAATTCATATGTAAATATTTATATGTAGTATCACTTTTGTTAAGATTTCATATCGTAAACAACGACACACCCTGTGTGTAACTGTATGTTTGCATAAATATCCACTTTCTATCATAGGATTTTGTCAATTTATACATACATACGTACATATTAGCATATTAAGAGAGTATTCAGTAATAAGGAAGCTGCTAATTCGAAGCCTAACTGGCAATGCAAACCATGTTGCATAATCTGTGGCAACAAGCGAGTACAATGTAAATGAGTGGTCATGTGGCCTAGAGTCTAAGTAACAGTCAATATGCAAGCAATATACATAAGATTAGAAACCTTCGAGGTATTTACATAAGCTGGCAATACTAAATATCTAAAAACACAGACACATGTACCTACAGGCTTTTCATTGTGCTTCTAATTAAATATTTCCTTTAGCTGTGCAACGACCTAAGACCTAGCAAACTAATTTTATATCTACTGTTAATATTAACAGAACACAAAATGGCAGCTAACAATATTGAAATTCATAAATTAAAAATTAAATAATTTTCTACTGTAACATATGTAGATAGCCCTGTCGACCATTAAATGGAGTAAAGGCTAATTTTTCATAAGTAAAAAAAATTTAAGGTTTTTTTGTAGCTGAATCAATAGAGAACATCATAATTTGTCATTGTTGTAAATATATTGTACTCATATTTGGTCAAAATCACACCTCGATTTTTAAACTTATTTTGCCTGACAAGGTAAGAATTTGATGGTTATTGTCCAGACCTCGGCATTATGTAGCAAGAAGGGAATCATGAGGGATTTGCACAGTTTTTTTCATTGAGAGAAGCTCTGAAATTTCAATTTCCTACTCAGTTCAAAATATCATCTGTCAAAAGGAGTGATTCTGTGTTGGATTTAATGACTGATATTGTTGTTGTTGTTTCTACGTGGATAGACCTAATCATCTATAACATCCGAGACGCCGAGAAGAGATTACACACACTTTATGTATAATCACCGAAGATATGGCATCTTGTTCCCCCATATTTGCGAATCCTTAGTGCAGTGATTCAATACCATTTTCCAAGGCTAGGCATCTTACAGAAATTTAAAAGCTTTTCGATTTATTTTATTTTTTCCGTCATTAAATTAATAGCACAGTTGGCTGAATTAGAGATTCAAAATCAAACCAGGGTAAAGAGAATACCCTTTAGTGAGGACAAAGTGGAGTGAAAAATCGGTGGAGAGATTTTCTTTCGGTTCTTTTTGCTCGGCATCTTTTTCAGAAATTAACGCATAATGAACGGCTGGTTGATGGTGAGTCCACCAGGTCTGCAACCGCACTTTTCTCTTACTTAGCATGCTAAATATGACTCTACATGCAATATTGAGCAGGTGCAAAAAGGGGGGTTTCTTATGCGTCGTTATGATTTTTTTTGCTGTTTTTTTTTTAGCTCAGTGGATAAGGAATGAGCTTCCAATACCATTTTTTTCCTCACGGTTAGGAAGTTTCGGTTTGGCATTTTAGCGTTGTCATCATCACCGCCATTAAGCAAACTTGTGAAGGTTGCTCTTCATAAATGTTAAATTTGGCCTAATCGCCAGTAACCAGATCGCCTCCCACAGAAAGAAGGTAAAGGCTTGAAGCCTCATTTCTGTGTAAATTTTTTGGGCTGTCTTACGTTGACCTAAATTCGTATGTACTTACCGATTTTCACTTCACTCTTTACTCACTACAAAACCATCTTGCTATTCTCTATAGCAAAGAATATCTTTCTCACTCGCAGGCGAGGAGGTTGGTCAAATACTTGTGAGATTATGCTATGTCCTATTCCTTTCCATTGCAGTGGATCACTCCTTTTCGTTTCGTCTGTTCTTTTGATTTTGTTGAAAATTAAATGTTTCTTTGACGTTGAAACGATAGAGTCTTAACTAGAGAGCACAGTTGATTGATAACAGCCTTAAACATCGTATACTCTCTTTTTTTAGATTCGTAATTTTGAGTGTTGGTTCTCATAACCGGCACAAAAACTCTCTACATGAGAGGATCTAGGTTTCATTAAACCTTTAAATCTTTTACGTCAAATTGCCTTCACTAAAAATCCCTATCCTTTAATTATGAAGGATGGATAGGGAAGGTTTCACACAACCTATTGCTGTTCTTTGTAGAATAGTGCCCGAGGACACATTTTGAAGTGAGTTCAGCAATCTAAGAAAATTAAAAAAAAAAAAATTTTCTCTTGATTTCTTTCTTATTTGATTTGATGGATATATAAATTTGTACAAATGCAAATTCAAATGCAGGAGTGAGTGTATTGTTATCACAGATTAGTGAGTATTTATATACATACATATATGGCATAAAGGAACAATGAATAGGTGGCCTTATTATTCCCTTTCTTCTATCGGTTAATTAGTATTAATGTTATGCAATATGACAGAAGGAAGGAGCAGCAGTACCGGTTTTATTCCTATCGTTCGTACATATTTGAGTACTGCAAATATGTTGTTGCATTATCTATTTCCAATAAGAACTAGGTATATGATTGCAATTTGAAATAAGCAGAGCATCCTCAACAACAATTGTGCAATAAGCAATAACAATGAAAATAAACCAAAATTCACTGGCCAAAAACGTTGCAATTTCGCCATTTAAGGCTACATGCCATCGAAAATGCTCTTACGAAATCGCTTACCGGATCACATTTACACACACTTATGCATTTGCAAGCAAGCCGTCATGCCGTGGGTTGGGTCGTAAGGCATGCAGAGGCGTTCAAACATCAAACAACAGTGAGGCATATACGCAAGCTGGACCGTAAAAATAGAGTGGGGGCAGGCAAAAGTGGAAGTATTTGCCAAATACTTCGGTACAATGACAATGTCACTGTGACATTTCATACGCCAACTAGTGTACTTGACGTCTGTGCCAAAAGCGGTAATACGAGAATTCAGACTCTGCACAATATCAGCCCAATGAACCAGCGAGCTGGTTGATCAGCCATGGACGGATATTTGGTTGGTTGCATCCGTCAAACGGACGATCATTCAATCGAACAAACGGTCATTGTTGCCTGCGTTTAGGTCAGTTGCCAGCGATTCACATAGAACAAACATATTTTGTATTTTAAAGAATGACGAAAAACGGAAAAACGTTTTGGAATGCATTGCATACTGCAAGTCTGAGTCCTGGATCGAACAACAGCCAAATTGTAGCAAATTAGTTTCACTAATTACGGTCATCGCTTGTAGTGTGTTTTGGACTTGAAATTAAAGCTTCACATAAATATCCATCAGCCATGTTTTGGTAAAACATCAAGACGGTCGTCACAAATTGGAGGAGGAGCTCGGCTGGCAATAGCTTCGGCGGTTACAATTTTCCACTTATACGTATTATATTAAAATAATAAGTCTAAATAGCAAGGGAGAGATGAGTAAAATACGATTCCTTGCAAGGTCTCACTCCTTGAAGTGGCTGATTTTCCATTAATGTAGGTTTCAAATCCGAACATTGTATTTAGTCAGTAAAGAAACTTTAAGCTAACGCTCGGTAATGTAAGCAGAACACGAAGCCTATTAACTACAATCTAAGGGAACTAAAACTTCAGGTTTGGTGACGAAATGGAGCTATTTAAGTCTGAGTGGTGAAGGATGTACCGAGTGGCTTTTTGGAATATTTCATGGCAACAAGAAAAATAATGCGAAAAATTATTTTTCGGACGCTCTCATCAATCCTATTTAGTTCCATGATTGAATATGTTTTTAAATTCCGAAAATTAAATTTGAATATATTATTATTATTAAAAAGATACTAAAACCAAGTTCATATTTTTGGGCACTTTTTTCACAATAACAATCACGCTTGACCGCCCGATATTAACTAAGCCGCCAAAAGGCTGTTTCGACCAAGAACAAGCAACAAATCCACGGAGAAGCGTTTTGAAAAATTATGAATTAGAAAATCAGGGTTATGTTACAGCAATAGGAGCAGCAATAGCAGTATTTTTAAATAAAAATCACAACAACCACAACAACTAAACCAGTAGCTGGCATTTCATCGTTCGGTGGTTTAGTTGCATGCCACATTTTGCAATGCTGCAACTAGTTCTCATTGGGGGTTCTGCTGCTGCTGCTAGGTAGACTATTTGATTTAGGTGCTATTGTGGTCTTCATGCTGAATCGAAATTCCATCACTACCGGTTCAATATGCTCAACTTTTTTGTTCCATTTTAATTCCAATGACCATCATTGTAACGAGTGGGGCACTATTGTTGATTCAGCTATAATCGCAAAAGCGATGCCTATGCCAATGAAGGACCATCGCCTACTCGTTGTATGGTGGCAACAATAAAATATGGTACAATGGGAGTGGTGTTACACCATAAAACTTACAGCAACGCAGCAATGGAACAAAAAGTCAACAATAGAGGTACACATGCATTCAGTCAGTCAGCGATCAGTTTGGTCACTGATATTCATCACGGCATATTTGCAGCTCACAAACAAAAACAGCTGATACGGACATACAGTCATACACTGTGGGGAAACTTTGCAACCTTGCTTTCCATTTTGAAATGACGTCAGTCTTAATTAGCACCCAAATGTCTGCCATGGCTACACTTACCCCAACGTATCTTTTTTTACGAAATTTTCCAGCACCAAAGCGCAAAGTGACTGCTGCATGCGCTATATCGCTTAAGGAATTCCCTCTTTGAAGTCTTGAATCTTCGTTGCCTGTTGGCGTAGTAAAAAGAAGTCTGAAGGCGTTAAATCACAAGATCTCGGTAGTCAATTGCGATCACCTTTTCGAGAGATAAGACGATCCGCCAACATTTTCCTTAAATCATCGATGGTTTCGTTTGCTTGTGTGGTACGTAGCGCCGTCTTGTTGACAATGCGTCCATACCATTCAATTCAACAATAAATATTGCGTTTCCCTAACACCAGATACGACAGGCTTGGTTCTTGAGATAACCATCGATGTGGAAATGGGCCTCGTCTGTCATATGATTTTTTGATAAACTCCGGATCATTTTCACGCAATTGAAGGACCAAATTAGCAAAGACACGACATCGTTTACGATTGGACGGCTTGAGTTCTTGTTTAAACTGAACTTCATAAGCCTTGAGATCCAAGTATTTATGCTAAATACGGTGTAATGGCGTTTGGGAAATGCCATATTCCGAAGAACGGACCAACCTAGGTTTTCTGCAAGGAAGAACAAGCGAAAATTTTACCTGTACAGGAACTCAAGTCACATGAGGACAACAAAAACAATAATTGACTTACTCAACTGACTGACCAATGAACAGAGCGTGTGCGGCTGTATCCATGCGGCAGTGCACAGTAGGCGGATTGCCAGTGAAATTGCATTTCTCTCTGTGGTGCGCATTTTAATCGCATTTCCGCGTTTTTTTCGTCAAACACAAACATATACGAGCACGGAGGCAAACATAGATTTCAAAGCCAACAGAAGCAACAGCAACAACACACCTACGCATCCACAACCATTGGAAGTATTCGAGCTATCGGTATTCAGACGCAGTTTTTTATGATGTTCCAAGAAGGCAAAACACTTTTTCCGCTTTCGGAAGGAGATTCAATGCGTGCAAAGTTAATTTGCCTGAGGCGTGATGCATCAACCGACAGCGAGAGCCTCAGCTTATGTAAAGTATTAAAAAAAGGAAATGTTAAATAAAGCAAAGCGCATAAAAAATAAAATAAATAAAACAAGAAAAATATCGACAGCAGTAAAAGAAAAACAAGCGATTCTTGTTATTGCTTCAACTAAAGTGGATTGGTGGTGGTGTTAGTAATTGATGCAACAAATCCTCGTATACAGCAGCAGCACAGCTGACATGCTTTAGTTGTTGTTATTACAGCTGGCGGGTATACCAAATGCTGGAACTGCGAATGGGAGCCGATCGGGTGGTGCATTTCAGCTGCTGGTTAAATGCAGCACCTTTGAATGCTTACGTTTTTATTGAATATTAAAAGATGATGTCAATTAAAAATGTACACAAGAAAAATAATAAAGCGACGAATAAATAATGCGCACTCGCACACACCCAAATACACGCTTAAGTGCACATATATTCATGTAATATTATGTACTCACAGTATTATTGCTTGCAAAGTCACTGCCACCTCTAATAAGCTTCCTTGTCGTAACTGCAAACGGTTGCAAGCACAAATTAAAGTTGAGAGGAAATAGTGATGAAAAATAAATACCATAGCTTCTAGGCAGCAGAAAGGAAAATAAGCGTATTTGATTTGAACCGAAAAAATATGTTGAAATTCAATTTGATATTGGCAATTGAGATTATGGTATGCTATACATACATACATACATGTAAAAGTTGCATGAATGTCTGTGAAAATGCATATATAGAGGTGTGTATGTATGTATGTGAAATTTGCAACATTGCTTTTTAATATTATTGGATGTAACCCCTTAATCCTAGTTAGAATTTTCAAAAAATCGATTTTTTTTTAATTTCATTTTCGTAATTTACATGTCTTCTAGTAAATACTCTGAAAATTACAAGTCGATCCGATTGTTATTTTGGAAGTTACAGGCATATCTGTAACGACGCGTCAGAGCATTTGAAAGCGCTTTTGAAACTTTAACCTCGTTTTTCTCAAAACTATGTTTTTCAAGTCGGTGACCAAGATTTCTCGGGAACGGCTAAACCGATTAGTCTCAAATTTTTACACAGGATTTTGAGTAATATTTTCTAGTACTTAATCGAAGCTTTTCCATTACTGATGAAAAGTTTTTTTTTTAATCCGCAATTCAAGACCAAAATTATGAAAAAAATTGAATTTTTTTTTAAAAGCCGTCATTTTGTCAAATGAAAATTTTTGGCTTATTCCATCGATTAATCACAAGATTATACATTACTTTAACGAAATCCGTTCGATTTTTTCATTTCAGATGATTCACTTCAGAAATACAGTGGTCACCGCAAAACGCCTTATTTGGGTGGGGTCCCAGGAGATTTTCTGTAGCAGCTTCAAAAACTGTTATTTTTATAAATACAAAATTTCTAACTACTCTTCAAAGGTGCCATAATATGTGTTCAAATGCTCACAATAATAAAGCTAAAAGTTTCCTCGTAAAAAATGTTTGAAAAACCTCTTTTTTTAGGTCTCCTAACTAGATGTAACCCCTTAAAGATGTTCACTTTCGTCATTTTGTAGGCTTTGAGTACGAATGAAGTTTACTTTTTGTTATTCGAGTGCAAATTGTAAGGCAAAGTTACTGTGAAAAGTAACTGTGTAAATTATAAAACATTTTCAATTTTAGCTTCTTTGAGAAAAGTTGTAAAATCTCTGGAAGTATAATATTCCAAGTCTACAAACAATAGCTGAGAGACTAAAAATTTGTTAGGTGTAATTGAAGCAAGAAAATAAAATTTAGAAAAATAATTTAATTCTATGAGCTATTACTGAATAACACTAACTCGTGAAATTTTGTTTAAAAAATTAATATTATATATATGCATTTCTTTAAATAATGGTGGTGTCTGAGAGAGAGAGGGTGCCATATGTTGCGTTTGCACTGGAAAATAGAATAATTTTCAATTAAAACAACATTTTTTTTATTTTATTTTTCACAAAAACTTTATTTGTTGTTTTTTTTTTTTGTTTACCTCATGTTTTGAATATAATATCCTGCACATGACTGCTTTAATTTTTTGTGCAAAATAATATAATTTTTCGTGTATTTTGGGTCACATTTTTCAGCGTCACGGGAGTAATAAGCGATATTTCCCAGCGAATATTAGCTTTGAGCAGAGCCATGGTCTGCGGCTTGTCGATGTAAATTTTGCTCTTCAAATATCTCCACAAAAAAAGTCCGGTGAACGCGGCAGCCAATCGAAACGATATGACGATTCAGTCGAGCAACAATCGAATTGGCGTCATTAAATTGCGGTTAGTTGTTGGCATCAGAAGCGATCGATATTTTCAGTCATATCCAGAAACATGAAGTGACACAGCATCGATCTGTAGCACACGTCATTGATCGTAACGGTATTTCCAGCCTCGTTTTCGACAAAATATGATCCGATCATCTTATTGGCCGACACGCGGCATCCACGGCACAGTGGGCTGAAACGGGCCGGTACAGTGCTTAGCATTTAAAGAAAAAATTTTTCTCTTTTGTAAGTTTAAGTATTATGTTGGATTTATTTATCGATTAAAAGTAACTATTTTTGTTACGGTCCTTCAGATAACTTTGTATTTTCGGAGTAATTAATTTCAAAAGCAATTTTTGTATGAAGGAAAACAAAAAAAGGGGAAATCTCTAAATTCTCAAATTTTCTCAAATATTTGACTTTACGTGTACAATTTCGTCCTAATTTAGCGCCTATTTCCGGTTTGCGATTTTCTGCGATTTAGTACCAATTTCAACTTTTATTCTCTATTCCACCCCACCAAAGAGGTTAAGAACTAGACTCGTTTTTCATGCAGGGGTCTCCCCTTTAGTCTTAATCTACTAAGAACTAATGAAATAAGTATTTAATCACAATCACTACTTACTAGTAGTAGTCTACTGGCCACTGCACTTTTTTAATTAAATCACTGTCGAGGGAATTCACATTAACGAATGAAAAATTTTCGTATTAGTCACCATCAAATGTTTCCGCTTGTTCAATTCTGCGAAGTTCGTGGCGCTTCGTTGAGATGAGTGGATCAGAGCTAGTTAATAAATTATTTAAAATGATTTCATTTGTCGCTTTTCTACTGTATTCCCTGGAATGATGTTGGTATTGCACCAATAAGGTTACATTATTTTCGAATTTAAATCCATTTGAGAAACTCTTTTTTTTATTTTTGGTCGTTAAGCTAAAATGTCATTACTTATCATACAAAATAGATATGGGTATATTTCTGAAAGTACTAGTTTAATAAAACAAAAATTTATAAAAAGAAAATTGTTAAATATACTTTTAATATCTTAAGTCCCAAATTTTATTAATCCCACCCCACTGTGCGCCGGCGCAAAAGCGATAGTTTTGCTTGTCAACTGCACTATTCGATGTGAAATGAGTTTCATCGCTGGTGATAATATTGAACCCAAACTCACCATCACCAAGACATTGAAAAAATATTATTTTTTTTTTATCAATGCGTCAAAAAAATGGTGGAGCTGTCAAGTTTCAGTTTCAACAGAAGGCGCATCCTGTATTTTTTTTCAGCACTAATTCATTATAAATATTGATTAGAAGAAGACCACTTTTCTACCCTTACTCAATTTTCACTCAAGTAATATGTTGTTGCAGGACAGATATTTTTGCAAATAAAATGTTCTTCTGACCGGCAGCTTAAACCATAATCGCCGACTTGTTACTTCCATTGCTAAACTTCGCAACCCAGGCGGGTAATAAATGCATTTTTCTACATTAGAAATGTTTGTTGATAACTTTTGAATGCTCCTTCTACTTAAGACAAAGTAATTTCTAAAAGAGAATGCTGTCTTCCTTAACAGCTGTACAAACAATGTGTGTATGTTTCTAAATGAATTCTAAACATCACATACACTTTAATTTCCTTTCTGTTTATGTTAAATTATCGCTCAAACTGTATCAAAGAATCAAGTGTTCTTATATTTCAATCAAATAGTGGTTGTTGGTAAACATTTCGCATGCAAAGTGAACAACAAAAATTTCGTATAAGCGATAATTTAAAATAAACTCATTTATATGGTAAACAAACATATGTGTTATGTATGAGAAGAAACATGGGGTTGAAACTACTGTCAGGAATTAAAAAAAGTTACTATCAAAAATTATATTTTACATATATGTTAAGCTCATTTTTTAAATTGTTATGCCGAGATGTGCTATGTACGCAGTATATATTAGGTTTGATCAGCTAAGTGTAGTATATAACGCCATCACGTAAATATATCAAGCTTCATTTGTCCATCTGCGCGTTTATCTTTGTACATGGTAACTCAAGTAAGAGGTCAGAAAAATTTCATGAAACTTAGTTCACGTAGCCTGTGGGTTACTGACATGTAGAATATGGGTGAAATCGGACAAAGCTGTAATTTAGATTAGCAAAAAAACATATCTCAGAAACCAGTTAAAAGAATTTAACACTTACAATTCCCCTTTGTCCCATATAACATACCATTTCCTTTTCACCCCTTCTTGATGCAACATATTAACAGCACTAAACGAAACTTGGATAGTAATTTACTGTTAATGAGGACTTAAATTCTATCAAAAATGGCTTACATACACGGTGTGTCCTAAAAATAACCGAACTTTATATTTGAATCATACAACATACAGCGCGCCATCTATTGAAAATTTGCTACATTAAAACTTGAACTGAATGTATCATCCTCTTTCAAACGCACCTAACATCATGTAAGTCGGACGACAGGTGTAAAAGTGACAGCTATTTCAATAA